ATATATATATATATTATATATATATATATATATATATATATATATATACATACATAAAGCAACATTGTTACTAATTCGTTACTAAAAAAAAATAATACATTACTAGACGTTACAAGTAACATGTTACTATTTTCAACCCTATGTGATTAACATATGTGAAAATTTGTATTAATTTAAATATGATCGAAATATTTTTATTTAGATATTATCTGGAATAAATAAAACATAATTAAAAGATCATTTATTCTATTCTTCAAAAACAGACAAATTTCAAGTTAGAGTAATTTCATCGAAAATCATCATAACTAGATGTTTAAAAAAGCATTTTACAGCTTCAAATCTCTACTTTTCAGATCGTTAGAAAATAATCTTATTGATATTTTATAAAGTTACACAGACATAAATGAAGATGCGTCAAATCTAAAATTTTTTATGTTTCTCAGCGCGAAATAAAAATTATACACAAATACGGTATAACATTTGAAAGAATAAATCTGTACCTTTACAGTATAGGATTTGAAAGAATGAATCTTTACTTTTAATTTGCTTATTTGTTGAGCATCATACACGATTCTTTTTTTCATCGAACTATTCAACATTAAAACGAACTTGAAGTGAAAAAAATCATATTGATCTGAAAAGTAGAGATTTCAAGGTAAAATTTACTTTTCTAAATGTTATTGTGATAATTTTTAACGAAGTTAATCTATCTTAAAATTTGCTTGTTTTTGAAGGATAGGACAAGTAATTTTAACCGTTTTTTAATTTTGTTAAGTAGTATATTATTCTATTTGAAATATCTTACCTGTCCTGCAACGTGAGACAATGGCAAATAGCTGACTATAACTTCTGATTTTTCTTTTACATGTAGCACTGATAACAATGCCCGTACGGTGAACAATAAATTATCATGGTTTAACATTACAGCTTTTGAATTTCCGACTGTCCCCGACTGTAAAGATTGCAAATAAGAAAATAGTACATTAAATATTATAGCAGTCGCAATTTGATTAAGTGTGATAAATTCAACCTACCGTATACACTAAAATGCAACATTCGTTTACTCCTATCGTCTTCAACACATGTGATAATTTATTCTCTGATTCTCTCTTACCTATATCTAATAAATCGTTCCACTGAGAAACAATAAATGATAATAAGTTATATGTACTAAAAAGTATGTAATAAAAAGATATTAGAGAAATATAATAATCAATTTACACTCAAAATATCCTTTTTGGTAGGTATGCCGTCATACTGAATAATTGCTTTCAAGTAGGTCAAATTGTGTTTTATTTGTAAGATTTTCCGCAATTGCTTTTCATCTTCAACGACTATTATATTTGCTCGACTGTATTCAGCGCAATATTGGCATGCCTCCGGAGAATTTGTGATATAAATCCCTGTAGCGATTCCACTAAAAAAAAGATGATCTATTTATTTAAAAATAAGAAAGCTTATACTTTTATCACTTTTTAATTATCATACAACTATATAAATAATATATATATTGTGATAATATGTAAATAGTATATGCATGTAAATTATTATATTATACGTGATGCTTATTTAGACGTACAAACAATTAAACTCTTTTACCCAGCATATATAGTCGCGAGTTCTGTAATGAACCATTCCGGACTATTGAATCCTAGTATGCAGACGCTATGATATCGCTCTAAACCTAACTTTAGAAACGCTTTTGCGACGATTCTTACAGTAGACTCGTATTCTCTGTAATACAAATTAACCAAATTGTATAAAATTGATTATATCACTTATCACAGTAAAGATAATTGCTGAACTCATCGAATTTTTCTAGCAAGCAGTAAAGCAGATTGAAAAGAACAGAGAAAGAATCTGAATAAAAGTAATATTTATATTTATAATATATTTGTGCGCAGTAAGAATTTTTGTGTTAAATTTATCACATTTCACGTATCTCGAACAGTCCACTCAAATTTTTGTGTTAATTTAACGAAAGATGAATATGTTAAAAAGTAACATAAATATTATGTAAAAAATTAACACAAGAAATGTAATGCTTTGACACAATTTAACAAAACAAATTTTATGTTAAATTGACACATTTATAATGATAAATTTAACTGAAATTAGATATTTTTACATTTTACTCTTTTTACATTTTTAGTTTAGACTCTGTGATATTTAACGCAATATATAGATTTAACAGATATTTACTGTTACAAAAAGGAAATAACACAAAATATCTGTACTTATAATTACTTAAATATCTTTTTACTTATAAAATATGTAGTTGAACAGAACACACACATATTTTTTTCAATAAAATTGACGTTTTTATAATATATTAAATCAACATTTTATTTATTTATTCTTAAAATTTATGCTTTAAAACTACATTATTTTTATGTTATTTGTTTACTTATTTATAAATTGTGTTATTTTAACACTGAGAAATGTTAAATTTTAATTTAACACAAAATATTCAAATAACATAATCACATTATGTTAAATTAAAACTTGAATATGTTAAAAATTCAACACAAAAATTTGAATAACTTAATTCGTTTTAACATAAATACAAAATGTTTTTTGCTGTGTAAAAATATATATAGAAAAATTAGTTATACACAAGTTTTATTATATATCTACATATACTAGGGAAGACTGGGATCAAAAGTAACACAGGTAAGTTCTAACACTTACATAAAAAAAAACGTTATAATCAAAATACAGAAGTGTAAGACAGAGATCCTAACGTTTGTGTATTTTGTTTATAATATAATATTTTTTAATGTAAGTATTACAACTTATTCGTTTTACTTTTACTTAAGTTTCTCTTGTTGTGTAATAATAAAGGAAACAATAGTCTTGTAACTTTTTTATACATACTGAAAAGTATACGTGGTTCTTTTGCCGTTGGCATCAGGTCTAGACACTAATGCTATGTGATCAGGGTAAAGCTTTGCTGTTCTAGTCAAAACTCCAGGGATTGATACTGGTAGATATGAATTGTTATCTAATTTTATTCGTACTCTACCATCTGCATTACATGTGGTATCTGCGTCCGTAAATAGTACTTGATCAGGTCCTAAAAATATTTAAATAATAAATATTTATTTCTTTCATTTAAAAAAAATTAACAATATTATATTTATTTGAAAAGTAACATTTTACTGTTTTTATTTAAAAAATAACAATTTATGAAAAATTATTAATTGCTTGATAAAAAAGAAGAAAAAAAGGCATATTTTGTAGGCAGAATTTATAAGTAATTGTCTACGTAAAGCAGGATAAATGATAATAATGCACTAATATTTGTCCTGACAATTGCAAAAGAAAGGTGAGAGGGAGAGAGGGAGGAAGGAAGAAGAGGAAAAGAGAGTAGAGGGAGGGAAGGAGTGAGGGGAACAGGGAGGGGAGAGAGAAAGAGGGGGCAGGACCTGATTGATAAGTTCAATTGCTGAAAAAAACTTTTTTTAAATATATTGTGACAAAATTACCATCGACGCCGGTTTCACTAAACGATGCATATCTAGCCGATTGATTCATCTCCTGCAACAAGTCTTACATCCAATTTATTATTTAAATATTAAAATGTTATGACATTTATTTTTTTTTACGTGATTTTAAAAATAAAGCGTAACATTGTTTATTTCATGTTTTAATAATACCCATCTAGAGATTGGGTCAGAAAGAAAATATACTAATATCAGTAATGATTAAAAATGGAAATTTTTAATATACAATAGAGCTTTTTAAATACTGTATGTACCTTTTTTGCATGTCCATTATTAGCGCATAGGTTTATGGAATTTAAATCACCTAATATAATATATAGTTTAATAATTACATAAATAATTAATTTATTATAATTTTAAATATTTTTTTGGAATTTTTCAATTTTATACATCTATATTATTTGTGGTTTGCAATGTCGCTACAATATAATAATTAAGTTATCCCAGAGGAGACAGACTTTTAAAGGTTATTGTATAGACTTCTGGAAGCTATTCCTATTTCCGATATTGTCGGAAAATCGGTTATATTTAACTTACTTTTTTAATTTTAAAGTACTATGCGACTCTTGTACCCTGCGGTCAAAGACATATTAGTATTCATTACTTTAAATACGAAGCGCTACTACGGTCTGAATGTTAAGATATGTTGAACTATTATATAATAATTCGAATATTATTGCGTAGTAGAATTAGTTTCCAAATTGCAATTTGGAAAAAAACCCAGAACTTTTATACTTGCTTAACATAAGCTATTATTCGTAGGACTGTTGGGACTTTTTTTCATTATGCAGCTAGAAGTGATCACGGTGAAGGCTATCTTAAGAATTCTTTCGGTCCCTCAAGACGAAGGTAGAGAGCCGCGAACGCTTCTGATTGGATAACGGAAAAACATTATCGTTACGGTCACTGTGACAAAATCGTGGAAGGCTTGTGATATACAAAAAATTTAAGTACTGAATAAATTGGCCAATCACAGTAGAGATCGTAAAGCCATAACGCAATTAACAAATCTATATTAATTCCCTTTATATTTTATTGCTTAAGTTTTTTTATGTCTTAAATTCTTTAATTCAAATAATAAGCTTTAACTTTCATACAATTGTCCAAATTTTTCGGATAATGAAGACTTAGGGATAGATTATTCAAATGAAGTACTTTCATAAAATACAAAAATATCTATTGTCCGCTTTATCACGAACACAAAAGAAAATGGAAGACTTTCTTTCTTGTCTATTCTTCTTGTCACTAAGAAGGCTGAATAATGCTTTTAATTTTTAATCGAGAACACAGATACGCATGAATAACATAGATATCTACATGCTGAATGACAACATCAGCACAAAAAAAGCAGCCAGCGAGCATATAAAACATGATGTATAATAATCAAATTATTAATAAGAATTTCTTGTTATATACATTATGCTATAAATTAAGTTACAATTTCAAAGAGCAAAAGCGACTCACCACGCTTATAATTAAAAATATGTATATGTGAAATGATTAACATCTTATTTATTACTGACAATAGTATTAATGTGATAAATATTATATATTAATTATATCATTAACAGAATCTTATTAATGTATTTGTGAATCTAATCAAAGGCATGCAAAAAGAATTGTATTCATTATGGAGAGAATAATTAGAGCACTTGAAGATCAGAAATCTTGTCATTCCACATCAAATCGGACACTTTTAAACCATCGTCATTTTTATTTTTTTTTTAATTTGCTGACATATAGATAAAAAATATTAAAAATATGAGATACGTGTTTTGTGAAAAGATTTGAGATTTTTTGGTGAAATTATTTACACTTGTAAGTCGCAGAAATTCATAAAAAAACGTCGCTCATGCGAACATTCAAGTTATTATATCGTCAAGACTTAGTTATACTTAGTTATACAAAAAAAAATGCAAGAAACCGATTTTGAAGATCTTAAATTGTTCGGTGAATAGATTTTTTTAATCATTTTCCTATAAGTCAGATCTGTCCAAGGTTTTTTGACTTGAAATATGTCGGTATTCACGCTCATTACCGTACCTGCTCCTCACTTTATTATTATTTTCGTCGTAGCGCGCGAAGCTCGGTCTCAGGGATGCGGATGACACTATAATTTGAAATCGTTAAAAGTTTTTGACTTATGTCTTTTACTATATTTAAAAGTATTGTGTTACTAATATTATAAGATACTATTGTTCATAATAGGTAATAGGTATGGATATTGATACATTTCGATTTTAAGTCAAACACTTCTGATCTTCTGAGACAGCTCTAATTTATATAAAAATGATGAAGTAAAAATTAATTAGGTTAAGTAAAAAGGAGCATACAGCCACGCTAGAGATGTCAAAAAGTTATAATTCAATAATAACAATGTACATAGTAGACGTTTCGGTCACCATTTGACCATCCTCAGTACAAAATAAAAATAAATAATAACCTTAAACTATTTAAATTAAAATTCGCATCGATGTCCGCATTTAACAATTAATATTTTTTTATTACAATCAATTAACATAATTTCAGACCGAAATAACATTAGATGTAATTTTCTTCTTATTTCCATCGTGTGGAATCATTTTTTATTTGTAACAATTATCGGCCTGTCGCAAGTTCCAAAAACGACGACGAGCCGCCGCAGAGAGACACGCAAGTGGTAGTTTCTATTGTAAGGCAATATATTTTTTGAAAAACCGTTTCTCGTCAATTTTATTTTCGTATTCTAATTATTTATATGAATTTATAATAGCAAAGTATACACTTACACGTATCTCGCGCACGGAACTATCCTGCATGCCGGACACTTGACAATTTTGATCACTTGAGATTTTCCGTGACAGTAATGCCACGGCCTTATTGTTGGTCTATTTGTAAGAAATAAGGAAAGGAGAAGGAGGAATACGGAATTGGAGGAGAGG